GCAAAAGAGGAAACTGAAACCCAAGGGGGAAAAATAGAAAAATTCCACAAAATAGCATGGAAAAGGAACAAGGCCTATCAGATATTAAAACATGATATGATGCCACATTAAAACAATTGGGTTCTAGAGAAAAAAAAAGCAATGTCTATTAGCAGCCCTCAGTACACGTGGGAAATTAGTATATTTTAAAGATGGCATAACGAATCAATGGGGAAAAATGAATTATTCAAAAATTATATTTGGTCAACAGGCTAGCTGATTCTCTAATTTAATTTTTACATCAAAATTAATTACCAATCAAGTAAACATTTTAATGTGAAAAATGGAACCTTGAGAGTACTAAAATGGCCGGGCATGGTGGCTCACATCTGTAATCCCAGCACTTTGGGAGGCTGAGGTGGGATAATCGCTTGAGTCCAGGAGTTCAAGACCAACATGGACAACATAGCAAGATCCTGTCTCTATTATTAAAAATAAAAGTACTAAAAGAAAATATGGAAAAAGTTAAATACATATAATCCTGGAAAGAGGAAAGCCATTCTAAACAGACCACAAATTCTATTAATATCTTAACAACAAACCTTTAAAATTGACAAATTCAACTACATAAAATTTTAAAACCTTTTCACAGCAAAAAAATATATACACAAAACAATCAAAAGACAAATGACAAACTGCAATAAGATATGACACACACATTTCCTTAATTTCTAAAGAGTTCAAACAAATCAACAAGAAAATCACTAACAACCTAAAGACAAATGAGCCAATGATATGAATAGGCAATTCAAAGAAAAATAAATAAAAATGGAAAGTACACATATAAAAAATGTTCAACTTTTCAGTATCAAAAATATTGATACTGCCCAGTGCTGATGATGGTATAGGGGACTAAGCAATTTAGCTACAATAATTTTTAGTGTACATATCCTCTGACCTAGCAATTCCTCTTATATTGCATAGTGGTTAAGAGCACAGTCTCTGGAGTGAGACTGCCTACATTCAAGTACAACTTAGCTTTGTGACCTTAGGAAAGTTTCTCAAGCTTTTTAAACCTCAATTTACTCATCTGCAAAATGGGGATAATAATGGTAACTCATTGAATTGTTTGTTGTAATGATAAAATGAGATAAGGCATGTAAAGTTCTTAGCACAGTACCTAGCACATAGTAATCACTCTATAAGCATTAGCTATTATTATTGTGCTCAAAGAGGCATTTATTAAGATATTAATTGCAGCCATTGTTTACAATAGCAAAAAAAATCCCTACAAAACAACCTAAATATCCGTCAATAAGAAATTGATTTAATAAATTATGACATACTTATAAATTGTAGTTGTGCAGCTATCAGATACATGTATCTGGACATTTAGGATAAATCCCTAAGCTATGAATTGTATAAAAAGTGTAATTTCATTTGTGTAAATAAAAAACGAAATGTGACTGTCTCTCTTTCCCTGTGTATGTTATGTACACATTTTTTTAAATTGAAGTTTATTCAAGATACTGAAAATAGTGCTTATCTTTGGAGAAAGGATCTGGTGGGGATAGATGAAACTAGTTTTTCTTTTCAGTTCATACTTTTGTGTACTGTTTGATTTTTGGATCTATCTATCTATCTATCCATCTAACTAGCATATTTTTTAAGTTTAAAGAAACAGTCTAATAAACTCACATCCTGTCATCTTTCACAACCCTCCAATGACTTCCTGCCTCACTCTGAGTAAAAGTCTAAGTCCTTCAACAGTCTGCCAGGTCATGATCTCTTGCTCTTCCATCCTTCTCTGAACGCATCTCCTGTCGCTCTCTCCCTTGCTCACTCTGCTCCAGTCACACCAGCTTCTGTGCTGTTCTGTGGGCATGTCGAGGTGAGGCCCATCTCAGGACCTTTGACCTTGTTGTTTCCCTCTGCCTTTGAAGTTCTTCCTGCAGTCATTCACATGGCTTACTCTCTCACCTCCTTTAAGTCTTAGCTCAAATGCCACATTCTCACTGAGGCCTTCTCTGCCCCTTCCCCACTTAAAGTCACACCTCCTGACACCTCTATTCCCATTTTCTGCTTTATTTTTTCCATAGCGTTTTATAACAATCTAATATACTATATATTTTCATTGCTGCTTTATCATCTGTCTCCCCCCACTGTCATTTAAGATCTATGAGGACAGAAATTTTTGTGTTTTGTTCATGATCATTGTCTAACTTTAGTGCCTGATGTCTAGTATCTCACGGATAGTAAATATTTAACAGATATTTGTTGATGAATGAATGAATAAACCTTCCAGGCAAGAAAGATCCTAAGAACTCAGTCCCTCTTTTTTTCCTTATCCCAGTCCCCTTTGGGATTCTTTTCTTAATTTTTCTCCCTCTTGTATTTCCAACTTCTTCTTTAACCTTGTGCCTGTCACAAAGCTCAAAAAATATTTGTTGAATGAATGTATATATATCCCCATCCTGAGATATGAGTGATAGATAACTAAAGGAAAAAAGTCCAGGAGTATTTGCACTTTAGTAGAAATCAAAACCTATAGGCAAAAAGATTATTCAGTTTCTTGGAGTCTTTAAGATCTCCCCACACTTGGGGTGCACTTGTCAAACTTTGGGGTCACACCATTTCTATTTTCCCTCTCCCACTTATTTAATGGCCCTCATGGGCCTACCAGTGACTTTAAGATTATGAGTTCATTTTCACTATTCCATGAACTTAAAGAATGCATAACAAGAAAATCAAAACTCACAGTGCAAAATATGGATGTTCTTAAATAAATATACACACATGAATACATATACACATCCATAAATACATACACACATTTACATACAACAGTTGTCAAAAAATTTCAAAGTAATTTCTAAGCAATATCCCACAAGCAACAGCAATAGATTATATACTTAAAACAACAAAGTTCTTGAAAAATTCTTAGTCTTGCTAAGTCCTGTGTCTTTTAAGGACAATAAAAAAATAATTCCAGATCTAGGCATTTCAGATCACCCAGATTGGTCCTTACTTCTCCAAAAAAGCAGGAGACAGGATGAATTCTGCTAACAGGATTACACCTGAATATGTGTGGGAGGACCCAGGGTCACAATCAATCCATTCAGTTTTATTCAGGGGACAGATAAACATCGTGTGTGTGTGTGTGTGTGTGTGTGTGTGTGTGTGTGTGTGTGTGTGTGTGTGTGTGTTGTGTGCTTTGTGGGGGCATAATGTATATTGAGTTGTGGGATGAGAAGGTCTTAGAATTCTCTCAGCTCCCATCTGATGTCCATACCAGATACTTTTTTTTCCCTCTAACACTGACTCCAATACTTTCCCCTGGCCAGGTCAGAAATCCCTTGTAGATAATGATCATTTCTGGGCGATGGAAATGGTGGCTGTAGAGCTTAGAGTCTAATGGAAAATTGAACCATCTGGGTTGCCCAGCAGGACCTCCTGGCAGAATGCCCCCAAATAAGTGACCAGCAACAAGGTCATAAGCATGAAAGAGCTCAGAGAAAAGAATGGTGGAGTCAAATCTGTCAGTTTAAGAGAACCAAATTATTTGTTTGAAAGAATGTCCTGTTATTCAGGCCTCAGCTTATTTCATCCTTATAAAGAAGGGAGTCTAGTTGTGATACAGTATTTTTCAATCTTTTTTTTGAGTTGGAGTCTCACTCAGTCGCCCAGACTGGAGTGCAGTGGCCGCTCCCGGCCATCGCAGCCTCAACCTGCTGGGCTCCAGCGATCCTTCCGCCTCAGCCTTCCAAGTAGCTGGAACTACAGATGCATGCTACCACGCCTGGCTAATTTTTTTGATTTATTGTAGAGATGAGGTCTCACCAAGTTGCCCAGGCGAGTCTCAAACCCGCGGGCTCAGGCAATTCACTCACCTCGGCCTCCCAAAGCATGGGATTACAGGCTGAGCCACCGAGCCCGGCATTTCTCAATCTTTAACATGCTTATTAAGAGAGTTTCTTAAGTCTCATTCCCTTAGAATCTTAGTCTGTTGAGTTGAGATAGGGGTTATTAATTTGCATTTATAACAAGCTTATAGTCACCTATGTCAATGCTATTGGTTCCTCAAGAACTACACTTTGAAGATCACAGCTTTTAATGGGTTAGCTCAGAACTTTTCAAGCTTCAATGTGCATATGATGAATCTAGGAATATTGATAAAATACAAATTCCTATTCAAAAGTTCTGAGGTGAGGCCTGGGATTCTGCATTTCTAAACAATTCCTGGGAGACGACAGTGCTGCCAGTTTACAAACCATACTTTGGTTGGCGAGTGTTTAGCATATGTCCTCTGCGATGATTAATTTTATGTGTCAACTTGACTGGGCCATGGGATGTCCACACATTTGGTCAAACCTTATTCTGAGTGTGTTTGTGAGGGTGTGTCTGGATGAGATTAACATTTGAATTGGCAGACTGAGTAAAGTAGATTGCCCTCCCTATTGTGGGTGGGCCTCATCCAATTGATTGAAAATCTGAACAAAAAGGTTGACCCGCCCACAAATAAGATAAAATTCCTTCTGCCTGTCTGCTCAGCCAAGGATATCAGTCTTTCCTGGTCTTTAGACTCTAACTAAAACACTGGTTTTTCTTGTGTCCTGAGCCTGCCATCTCTTAGATTGGAATGACAACATCAGATCTCCTGGGTCTGTAGCATGCCAATTACAGATCTTGAGACTTCTTAGCTTCCATAATTGTGTGAGCCAATTTCTTATAATAAATTTATAATAATAAATTCCAATATCTATATCTATCTATTGCCTAGCATCCATATCTATAACCTATTGGTTATGTTTCTCTGGAGAGGCCTGATTACTACATTTCCAGATCTAATTTGAAAATCTGCCACTATAGTTGGGTACTGTGTTTCCATGGTAGGAGATATCAGTCTATATTGGAATTCTGGGGGCCTAAAGAGTCACACTATTTGGCATTAGAAGCAGGGGCCAAAATCTGTTATGGATTTTTGTGCGTTCACTGAACCTTGTAAACAATAACAACTGACAGCCATTGCAGTACATTGAGCTCCATAGAGACAGCGCCGGGGCAGGCGAGAGCCGGACGGGCACTGGGCGACTCGGTGCCGCGCGGAGGAAAAATAACCGAACATGGGCAAAAGAGATCCCAAGAAGCCGAGAGGCAAAATGTCATCATACGCATTCTTTGTGCAAACTTGCCGGGAGGAGCACAAGAAGAAGCACCCGGATGCTTCCGTCAACTTCTCAGAGTTTTCTAAGAAGTGCTCAGAGAGGTGGAAGACCATGTCTGCTAAAGAGAAGGGAAAATTTGAAGACATGGCAAAGGCCGACAAGGCCCGTTATGAAAGAGAAATGAAAACCTATATCCCTCCCAAAGGGGAAACAAAAAAGAAGTTCAAGGATCCCAACGCTCCCAAGAGGCCTCCCTCGGCCTTCTTCTTGTTCTGTTCTGAGTATCGCCCCAAAATCAAAGGAGAGCACCCCGGCCTATCCATCGGGGATGTCGCCAAGAAGCTGGGAGAGATGTGGAATAACACTGCTGCGGATGACAAGCAGCCTTACGAGAAGAAGGCCGCGAAGCTGAAGGAGAAATACGAAAAGGATATTGCCGCTTACCGAGCCAAAGGCAAGCCCGATGCGGCGAAAAAGGGAGTCGTCAAGGCGGAAAAGAGCAAGAAAAAGAAGGAAGAGGAGGAAGACGAGGAGGACGAAGAGGACGAGGAAGAGGAGGAAGACGAAGAAGACGAAGATGAAGAAGAGGATGATGATGATGAATAAGTCGGTTCTAGCGCAGTTTTTTTTTTCTTGTCTATAAAGCATTTAACCCCCCTGTACACAACTCACTCCTTTTAAAGAAAAAAATGGAAATGTAAGGCTGTGTAAGATTTGTTTTTAAACTGTACAGTGTCTTTTTTTGTATAGTTAACACACTACCGAATGTGTCTTTAGCTAGCCCTGTCCTGGTGGTATTTTCAAGAGCCACTAACCTTGCCTGGTACAGTATGGGGGTTGTAAATTGGCATGGAAATTTAAAGCAGGTTCTTGTTGGTGCACAGCACAAATTAGTTATATATGGGGATGGTAGTTCTCTCATCTTCAGTTGTCTCTGATGCAGCTTATACGAAATAATTGTTGTTCTGTTAACTGAATACCACTCTGTAATTGCAAAAAAAAAAAAAGTTGCAGCTGTTTTGTTGACATTCTGAATGCTTCTAAGTAAATACAATTTTTTTTATTAAAAAAAAAAAAAAAAAAACAATAACAACTAGGCCAGGCACAGTGGCTCACACATGCAATTCCAACACTTTGGGAGGCTGAGGTGAGAGGATTGCCTGAGCCCAGCAGTTGGAGACCAGCCTGGGCAACATTGCAAAACCTTGTCTCTACAAAAAATAAAAACATTATCTGGGTGTGATGGCATGTGCCTGTAGTTCCAGCTACTTGGAAGGCTGAGGGGAAAGAATTGCCTGAGCCCAGAAGGCAGAGGCTGAGGTAGTCATGAGCGTGCCACTGCACTCCAGCCTGTGTGATACAGTGAGACTCCAACTTGAAAAAAAATAGCAACTAGTGTTTATTGAACTCTTACAGTGTGCCAGGAACTATGCTAAATATTTAAATGAATTATCTTATTTGGAATTCCAATAGGAACTATTACCATTCCCATTTTATGATAGGAAAATGAAGACTCAGAGAGTTTAAGAAAGTTAAGAGAGACATAGCCTTACACTCTTCTTTCATTTCCAAAATTAAATCTTGGAAAATGTTTCCAGGGAGTTTACAACCCAGTTAGTGTTATAGTAAGTCCAAGTTTCCATCCATTCTATTACGCTGTCCTCCCTGCTGACCAGTTATGCCATTACCTAATTCACATGAAGGGCTGAAGGCATGTTTTGGAGACATGTCTGTCTGCTAGTTTCCCAGAAGATACACTGAAAAGACTTCCTTTAGTTTCCTTCTTTCTCAATGATTATGGGCTGTTTACATACTCAAATTTAGTGACAGTTCTCAGCTTTGCATGACTCATTTTTGAGTTACGGCGGTATGTTGCGTTTCCTTGGTGGAGGCAGATTACATCCAGAACTTTCTTCAGGACCACATCAGTCCAGAGTTTAGGCTGGCTATTTTCTTCACGTTAATAGCATTTATGCATCTTGTGTGCATACCTCAATATTGCAATCATCAGTAGACATCAGTTTCCAGAAGATAGGATCTAGCACTTTGGATGATGAGCAAGGGGTCTGTGGATTTTAGTCTAAGGCAATGTTTCCTATTTGTAGGTGGCAGCAAGCAGAGTGATGGGCCAGATGAAACAAACAGTTCCAGGAGTGGCCCAAATCCAGAACAATAAGAGCTTTCTTTGAAGCTCCCATTTCTGAAACAACTCATAATTCCCACAGGAGAGGAGTATGGCAGCTTCAAAAGCCAAAAACAAACCCTCTCTAAACAGATTAAACCTGCTACAGAGGTAAAGCTCTAAAACAAAAACTGGCCAAGGAGCTCTGATGATGTCCAACCATCTGCCAATTCAAGAGTGAATTAGACTGCACACAGCATGGGGGACAGAGTCAAATCAGTTGAGTCAACTGGGCCCTTTGAAAAATATTTATCGGTTTAACTGGCATTAGTATCATAAGGCACAACTGGCATTAATATCATAAGGCACAATAACTCATTTATGGTGGTAGTTGATACATTTGATTAGGGATCATATACGTACACGTCCTTGCCTCTTTTCTGTGTGGGCATCCTCTCTTCCCTGTGCAATTACTGTTGTACAAACTTAAGAGTCTTTTGGGCTAGCCGGGCTCGGTGGCTCAGCCTGTAATCCTGCGCCTTTGGGAGGCTGAGGTGAGTGGATTGCCTGAGCCCACGGGTTCGAGACCCACCTGGGTAGCGAGACCTCATCTCTACAATAAATAAAAAAATCAGCCGGGCGTGGTAGCACGTCCCTGTAATTCCGGCTACTTGGAAGGCTGAGGCAGAAAGGATCGCTGGACCCCAGCAGGCAAGGCTGCGGTGGCCAGGAGCGGCCACTGCAATCCAGTCTGGGTGACAGAGTGAGACTCCAACTCAAAAAAAGAGTCTTTTGGGCTAAAAGTTTGAGTGACTTGGCTTAGCATTCACCCTTTGTGCACAGTAAGGTTTTTAGTGAGGAAAAGGAACTGGGGCTGGATGGCCTACAAGTTCGGAATAGATTTTTGTGCATTTGGCTGAAGATGCCTTTGCTATCAACTCCTCCACTTCTATGTATTTGCATTTGACTTCTAATTTCACCCTTATCTTTGCTGAACTGAGGGATTTGTCTGCAACTGGCCAGCTTAGATAGGGAAACAGTTGATTGTCAGAGGCCAGGTGTGGGGGTGGCAGCCTCTATCTCAGTTCAGGATTCTGGGGAAAGCCTGTGGAGGTGGAGGAGAGGGAGATGGAGAGTGGAAGACAGGAGGAGGAGGACAGGCAGCTGAAGCTGTTGCTGTCTAAGATGGCCCTTCCACTTTTATTTCTGTAACAGGCACGGCTGCATTACTTAATTTTTATTTGTTTGTTTGAATTGGAGTTTCACTCTGTCATCCAGGTTGGAGTGCAGTGGCACACTCACAGCCACTGCAGCCTCCACCTGCTGGGCTCAGGCAATCCTTCCATCTCAGCCTTTCAAGTAGCTGGAACTACAGGCACAAGCCACCACTCCCGGCTAATTTTTTTGATTTATTATAAAGATGAGGTCTCACCAAGTTGCCCCGGCTGGTCTTGAATTCCTGGGCTCAGGCAATCCTATCTTGGCCTCCCAAAGTGCTGGGATTGCAGGCGTGAGCCACTGCGCCCAGCTTGGACTACTTAATTTTAATATTTCAGCCATGGCATGAAGAAATGTCAATGTTCCTGATTCACTGCATCCAAGAAAGGAAAGGCCAGCAAGACCACGGGACCCAGATATTAACCTCTGTGCAGCATCAGACTTTGGCTGCTGCTCAATGGCCTGTTTGTTCCAGGGAGCAGATTGGGGGTCTCTTCATAAATATTGATCCATCTAACCTGCTCCTTGCCGTGACCAGCACTAGCTAAATCTGTAGGGAAAAGGATGAATCCAATCTGAACACTGCGTATATTTCATTGAGAGTTTCTAAGGGCTTGTGAGGCTGCATTTAAAAAATTATCATAGCCAAATCTGCATGTCACCTCAACTCACAGATTTTCATTTATTTTATTTTTATTGCATTTCACTTATTATGACAAAAATTCCTTTGAATTACTTCCCTTAGTTAAATAAATTAAGGCCAATGTGTGCTTTTGTGCAAGAGAATGGATAGTACAGGGTCTTTTGCCTGATACGTCTCCAATTATCTTTTTAAACAGAGCTTCAGGTGTGTGTGCACATGGAAGAAACTTTTGGAGAAAACAAAAAGGCGGCCGGGCTCGGTGGCTCAGCCTGTAATACCAGCATTTTGGGAGACCGAGGCGAGTGGATTGCCTGAGCCGACGGGTTCGAGACCCACCTGGGCAACTTGGCAAGACCTCATTTCTACAATAAATAAAAAAAAAAAGTTAGCCTGGCGTGGTAGTGCACGTCTGTAGTTCCAGCTACTTGGAAGGCTGATGCGGAAGGATCGCCGGAACCTAGCAGGTTGAGGCTGCGGTGGCCGGGAGCGGCTACTGCACTCCAGTCTGGGCAACAGAGTGAAACTCCAACTCAAAAAAATAAAAATAAGAATGGGACCTCAGAATCTTTTCCCAGAGATTTCAGGTTAGGAAAATTTGACCAAGTATAGGCCTGATCATTATCTCTTGGCAGGAAAGAAAACTGAAAGCCGCAAGGGGCAGTCCAGTATGATGGAAGGGGACCCTAACACTCTGGAGGACTTCTTTTCCTCTGCTTCCTACTCTGCTTCTGGCCTCTGTATCTGCATGTGCTGTTTTTGTTTCCCTTGAGTCACCAGGCACAACTTTAGTCCTTCTTTGATTTCCAAAAGAAGTCTGCTCATACTCATATTCAGCAAGTCTGGATAGACTCTACTGATGTTTTGGGAGAATGTTGGGGGGAGGGGGTCACAGCATGTAGCCCTGAAGCCTCTATCAGCCCCTTTATATTCTTCTTCCTCTCCTCCCTTCTCTGCTCATTTTGCCTTCTTCCATCCTAGATTGTGTTCCTACCCCCTCTGCAATTTCTTCTCCCTCTGTTAGACAGAGTATCTAGCAGGTAAATCCATCAAGGCCTCAGCAGAATTAAGAACCTTTCTTCCATGTACCAGTAGTCACTCTCTTTAGAAGGAAGTAGGCATTATAAATAGCTATTTATTTTTGTTGTATCATTTGTCCTCATATTTCCCCATAAGAAAGATGGAAAAACAGAGGTAACAGAGAGCCACCTAGCAATCCAACAGTACTGTCCAGCACCAGGCACAGGTCCTCTGCATACCAACAAATTGTGCATAATCTAATGGGGAATCTTTTCCGGATGGTGGATGATCTTGTTATCCCCTAGACTCCACGCTTCTCTAGGATCCCAGGAGAAAAAACCTCCTCCCTAAGAGTTGAGTGCTCTTGGAACATAGCCAAAGACCCTTTCAAGATCTAAGAGAGCTGTCTAGACTCTTTGAAGTATGTTTCCCCCCTTTCAAAATCCACTTCAACACCGGCTGAGAGGGAAGAAGCTGGGGAGAGATGATCGAAAAAGGCTGAGGAAAGCACTCGGCCTTAGAGGATTTTTTAAAGCCAGATAGCTAGCTACCTACCACTGTGGTCAAGGCCGTCATCCAAATACTGGACTTGTTCAGGAGGGACCTATTTCTCCCCTTGCACAAAGAATACTTGCCTTCGATTTCTGCATGCAGAGAGGCACAACAGAACTGGGGAAGACCCATAGAGATAGTGAATGTAAATGTGGTCACGAAATAAAAGAGACTCTATCACAGCCCACTTGAGGCTCTGAAAGAGGTATGTTTAGAAAAACACAAATCAGTGTGATTTTATGCAACAGGAAACAAATATATGGAATTCATTATCCTCAAGAGTGAGTATAAGTTGGAAGTATGTATAAATACCTTTTTAAAAGGGTTAGATGCATTCATAAATTTATGCATAGCTGGTTACTAAGGGCAACTAGGATGCGTTCATAGGAAGCCAGAAACTGAAGAGACTTTAGATATCAGCTAATCTCTACTCCTCCACTCCTCTATGTCTGTGGTGAGGGGGCATCAGTAGAGGATCTCCTGGAGCCAAAGAGGGGACTAGATGGGTAATCAATGATTCCTATTGGTTTCC